AATAAGCGAGTGTGCAAGAGCAAGCATATAAAGTATACATGCACTATTTAATGTAAGTACAAAGCAAATACCCATGTAACCATCATCAAAAACAAGAAATAGGATGTTGCAGGCCCCCAAACTCCTTACTTCATATACATTTTTGTGCTACTACAGTAGGATAAAAAAGAATCCCAGTGTTTTCTGGGTGTTTATTATGTCAAGTAGACAGTAAACAAGGCACAAATACATCAGGACAATGTGTATTTCATCATAAAATTTGTACTTACTGTTATTATCATTGCCTCTGCAATCAGAATTGTGCATTAATATGTGAACAAAAGTAGCAAGGTGAAATACAATAGCTGAACTTCCATGTGACATAAAATGCCAGGGCATGGATGCCTCATTTTCAAAAAAGGCAGTATTGTGTGTATGTGTATGTATACATATATATAAATTTTTTTCTTTATTGATTTAGAGAGAGAGGAAGGGAGAGGGAGAGAGAGAGAGAGAGAGAGAGAGAGAAATACCAAAAAATTGATTTTTAAAGGGAGAGAGAAATAGAAACATCCATCAGCTGCCTCTTGCAGATCCCCCACCGAGGATCGAGGATCGAGCCTGAAACCTGGGCATGTGCCCTGACTAGGAATAGAACCAGCAAATTCCTGGTGCATAGGACGACCCTCAATCCACTGAGCCACACCGGTCGGGCAGCAATGTTGTATTTTTAAATCTGATTTTAAAATAATAGAGGGTAGGGAGTAGATTATTCACTTTGGGGAGGATTCTTCTTAGGATTTTGTAATATAATTCCTTCTTAGCAGCTCCTTCAATAGAAGGAGTTCCGGAGGTCCTGTCAGTCTTCCCAGGCTTCTCATTCAGCTTCCTCCTTTCCCTCCCTTTCTTTACATATCCCAACCTCTGTGCTTGCCAGTCCTTACACTTTCTACTTTGTGTACCTCTGAGCTAATATGCATAAACCCAGGGACAATATAGCCACCCAGGTAGTTTGCAACAAATTTGACAATGGAAAGAGAGACAATCTCTTCTGCAGTGTTGCTCCTTAGAATGCTTCTCTGGCTCCCCGCTAGGGAGCTGTCTTCCTTAACCCCACTCAGATCTCTTTGCTTTACTAGCTTTAGGTCACCCAGCTGGATTTATTTATTTCCCCCCAGCTTTATGGAGGTATAATCAACAAATAAAATTGTATAAATATATATATATATATATTCTTTATTGATTTGAGAGAGAGAGGAAGGGGGAGAGAGAGAGAGAGAGAGAGAGAGAGAGAGAGAGAGAAATACCGATGAGAGAGAACATCAACTGGCCGCCTCCTGCATGCCCCACACTGGGGATTTGGCCCACAACCTGGGCATGTGCCCTGACCAGGAATCAAACTTGTGATCTCTTGGTGCCTGGGTCAACGTTCAACCACTGAGCTACACTGGCTGGGCTAAAACTGTATGTATTTAAGGTGTACAACATGAGAATTTGATATATGTATACATTGTGAAATGATTACCACAAGTTAATCAACACGTCTATCACTTCATGTAGTTACCATTGTGTGTGTGGATGAGAACACATAAGCTCTATTTTCTGAGCAAATTTTAAGTATACAAATACCATATTATTAACTATTGTCACCATGCTGTACCTTGTGTCCCCAGAACTTATTTATCTTAAAACTGAAATTTTGTACTCTTTGACCAACCCCCATCCCTACGCCCAGCCCCTGGCTACCTCCATTCTTTTATAGCAACCGCCATTCTACTCTGTTTCATGAATAACAGTGATACCTCGGTTCTCGAACGCCTCGGTTTTCGACCAAATGGAGATTCGAGAAACTTTTGTCTCGGAATCCGAACAAATATTTGGAACTCGAACTTCCGAGATGAGCCGAGTTGAGCCGAATGGCGTTCATTCGGCCCAGCGCGCCTTGCTTGCGTCATCAGTGTGAGTGCAGAGAGAGAGTCACGCTTTGTGGAGTCACGCTTTCCTATTGGTTTCATTGCTTCGGTTCTCGAACAATTCGGTTCTCGACCGTCCTCCTGGAACGAATTATGTTCGAGAACCGAGGTATCACTGTACAAGCTTTCTAGATTCCACATATAAGTGATACAAAACAGTATTTGTCTTCCTCTCTCTGGCTTATTTCACTTAGCATTGTGCTCTTAGGTTCATCCACGTTGTTGCAGAATTTCCTTCATTTTTATTGCCAAATTTTGAAATATATATATATTTCAGTTATTTACATATCATATTTTTATTATCCATTCATGCATCAGTGGACACCTAGCTTGTTTCCGAAGCTTAGCTATTGTGACTAATGCTGCATTGAATACAGGAATGCAGATATTTCTTCCAGATACTGATTTTGTTTCCTTTGGCTATATACTCAGAAGTATGCTAGCTTGTATGGTAGTTCTATTTTTAATATTTCGAGGAACCTGTTTTTCATAATGGCTGTACCATTTTACATTTCTACCAATAGTGCACAAGGGTCCCCTTTTCTCCATATCCTCACCAATACTTATCTCTTGTCTTTTTGATAATAGCCATCTTAACAGTTGTGAGGTGACATCACATTGTGGTTTTGGTTTGCATTTTCTTGATGATTAGTGGTGGTCAGCACCTTTTTATGTACCTTGTGGTTATTTGTATGTCTTCCTTTGGAAAAATGTCTATTCAGGTCTTTTCCCCAATTTAATTAGATTATTTTTGGTTATTGAATTGTATGAGTTCCTTATATATTTTAGATATTAACACATTATCAGAGATATGATTTATAAATACTTTCTTTCATTCCTTAGGTTGCCTTTTATATTTTGTTGATTGTCTCCTTGGCTATGCTGAAGCTTTTTAATTTGATGTCTTCCCACTTGATTACTTTTGCTTTTGTTGCCTTATTTTGCTTTTTTTGGTATCATATCCAAAAAAAAAAAAATTATTGTTAAGACTAATGTCAAGGAATTTATCCTATGTTTTCTTCTAGGAATTTTGTGGTTTCAAGTCTTACATTTACATATTCAGTCCATTTTGAGTTCATTTTTATGAGTGGTATAAGATAGGGTTTATTGTTTTACAAGTAGACATCCCGTTTCCCCAGTACTATTTATTGAAGAGACAGACTATTCTTTCCCCATTGTGTATCCTTGGTGCCCTTGTCAAGATAAGTTGATTGCATATGCATGATTTGTGTGTGCACATACGTATGGGGGCAGGGTGTTCTCAATTCTGGTCCATTGATCTATATGTCTGTTTTATTGCTAATACCATATTGTTTTTATGAGTATGGTTTTGTAATATAGTTTGAAATTAGGAACTGTGATGCCTTTAGCTTTGTTGTTCTTTTTCAAGATTGCTTTGACTTTAGGGTCTTTTGTGGTTCCAAATAACTTTTAGGATTGTTTTTCTGTATCTGTGAAAAATGCTATTGGAATTTTGATGGGGATTTCATTGGGTCTATAGATTGCTTTGGGTAGTATTAATATTGATTATTCTAATCTATAAATGTGGAATATCTTTCCACTTATTTGTATCTTTTTCTATTTCTTCCATTTTTTTTTTATAGTTTTCAGTGTACAGATCTTTCACTGCCTTAGTTAAATTTACTTCTAAGTATTTTGTGTGTGTGTGTTTGATTCTGTGGCAAATGAGATTGTTTTCTTAATTTTTTTTTCAGATACTTCATTGTTAATGTATAGAAACTCAACTGATTTTTTTTTTTTTTTAGCTAGAGTGGAAGGGGGGAGAGGGGAAAGAGAGAGAGAGAGAGAAACATCAATGTGAGAGAGACACATCAATTGGTTGCCTCCCAAATGCACCTAGTCAGGGCTGGGGATTGAACCTGCAACCCAGGTATGTGTCCTTGACAGGGAATCAAAACTATGACCCTTTGGTGCATGAGCTGATGCTCCAACCACTGAGCCAACTGGCCAGGGCTGATTTTTGTACGTTGTTTTTGTATCCTGCAACTCTACTGAATTTATTGATTAGTTCTAACTGTTTTTATGATGGAGTCTTTAGGGCTATTTTAAACATGTAAGATTATGTTAAACATAATGTTACTCTGTAAACAAGGAAAGTTTTACTTTTTTCTTTCCAATGTGGATGCCTTTTATTTATTTATTTTTTCTTGCCTAATTTCTCTGGCTAGGACTTCCAGTACTATGCTGAACAGGAATGGAGAGAGTGGGCACCTTTCTCCTGTTCCTGATAGAGGGCAAGCTTTTAGCTTTTTACTATTTGTTAAGTGATGTTAGCTATGGGTTACCTAGTTAGATTTAATCTCTCCCTACTTCCTAAATCTTCAATCTGTCTTTTACATTGATTATATTGTTTTATATTAGATTTGTTTATGTGTGTGCCTTCTCACTCCTCTCTACCATTGTATTTCCCATCACATTTAGTGGAGTTCTTTACCCACAGAGCAGACTCACTAAATGATGATCAAATTGATTTGTTGAATCCAGTACATTTAAAATATGATCAATTGTATAGCATTTTCCAGCACATCATCTCAGGCATACAGTCATAAAAATCACCATGAAATGTGAATATCTGTGGAATGTTTTGAAGCTCTGCCTTTGAAAATATGCCATTTCCACTGTTAAAATAAAGAATAAATTATAGCCCTGGCCGGTTTGGCTCAGCGGTTAGAGCGTCGGCCTACGGTCCTGAGAGACCCGGGTTCGGTTCCCGCTAAGGGCATGTACCTCGGTTGCAGTTTGTCCCCGGCCCTGGTTGGTCGTGTGGGTGGCAGCCACTCGATGTGTTCCTTTCACGTCGATGTTTCTCTCTCTCTCTCTGTTCCTCTCTCTCCCTCCCATTCTACCTGAACAAAAAATGGAAAAATGTCCTCGGGTGAGGATTAAAACAAAACAAAAAAAAAGAATAAATTATATAAAATTGTATGGTTGTAAAATAAAGACAATGAATGACAGATAATAAGATAAAGTGATTTTAAGACCTGCATTAATCTATGATTGATGTCCTTCCTTGTCCATTCTGTGCAGTCAGTTAAGCTTTCGCCAGGACAATACAATCTACTTCCTGCACCAGTTCCCAAGTATGCTTCCAGGTAATTATATGCTTATTAATTTGCTTTTAATCATTTTACTCATGCCTTTTTTTTTTAATCCTCACCTGAGGACATTTTTGCATTTATCTTTAGATAGAGTAGGAGGGAGAGAGGGAGAAAGAGAGAGAGAGAGAAACATTGACGTGAGAGAGACACATCGAGTGGCTGCCACCCACACAACCTCAACCAGGGCTGGGGACAAACTGCAACCAAGGTACGTGCCCTTAGTGGGAACCAAACCCGGGACTCTCTGGTCCGTGGGCCCATGCTCTAACCCCTGAGCCAAACCGGCGAGGGCTCATGCCTTTCTTTATACATACTTAACAATCAATGCCAATGGCTTTTAAACTTCATTTATGCCCATTATATCCAGATTAGCATTTTTAAATATTTAATGAGAGGCAATACATTAACAAAGATCCTAGCATTAAAAAAATTTTAGGAAATCATGTCTTTTTTTTTTTTAAATATAGGAGTTTTGTATTTTGTTCTACAGTTCAAAGATTTCCAACAGCCTGCTTCATTCCTGTAAGTATATTGTAGACACTTAACTCATGGTGAATTTGATGTTTAAAATATGCAATGATTCCTTTTGATATATCAAGATTAACATTTTGCTCATTGGAGTAGATAAGCAATGAATGATTTAAAATATACTTAAAATATATCTGAAGCTATACTAGGGATTTCAATGTAAGTTAACTATTTGTGTCAATTTATAGATGAAAAGTAAATATTTCTTTACTTTTTTAGGTCTTGACTCATATCACTTCAGTGAGGTCATCCCTAGTCACCTGTTCATAATTTCCTGTTCCCCTCTCTTTATTTATTTTTCTTCATAACACCCATCACTACCTCAGATACTCTCACTGCGTTGAAATTTTTACCTATCCTGTTTTTATCTGTCTCCCCTACTAGAATATAAGTTTCAGGAAGGCGAGGGTATTTGTTTTTGTCCTTTCTAGCACCTAGAAAAATGGCTGATACTGAGTATTTGTTGAATTAACTAATAGATAAAATCATCAGAGATATTTAAATAGATCACTCTATTAACAACAAAAAAGAAAAAGTATCTTCTAGGTTCTTTTCTTTCACAAATGTGAAAATGCTTTCCTGTTTCTAAACATTTCCAACTACATGTACATGTATTGTGATACAAGTGAACTCTTTTAGATAAGTAACCAGTAGAATTCTAAAAAGTAAATAATTATATAAATGTGTAAAAGAATGAGAAAATGTGAAATTATTTTGGGACAGTTTATGGACTATAGTTATTTATTTGTGACTAGAAACTCTCAGGGGTAGGGGGAGGAGACATACAGAAAACATCTGAAAGAGTAATTAAGATAACTGAACTGAACTCAGAAACAGAAGCTAGAATATGTAAGATTTATGTATTTGAGAAAGATGATATGAAAAATCCATAGGGAAAGGAAGAGACATTTTCTATTAGACAATCGTTAAATAACTTGGAAAAAAGCTAGATTCTTCCTACCACATATTAAAATTAATTCCATATTGATTGAAGAATTAAATACTTTTGAAACCATAAAACCAGGAGAAAATATATTAGCATATATCTAATTTTAGGATAAGGCAGATTTTCTGACATAATAGCAATGGATGAATTAAAAGAAAAGAAGTATTAGATTTGATTACATAACATTTTAATGTTTTATATATATTAGAAAACAAACTGTAGACAAGTTAATAGGCAAATGCAGATAAGGAGAAGTATTTTCAACATACATGGCAGATAAAGGGTTAGTGGCCTTATCTAAAATTCTCTTAGTCTGTAGGAAAGCTCTGGCCGGTTTGGCTCAGCAGTTGGAGCGTTGGCCTGTGGTCTGGAGAGACCCGGGTTCGGTTCCCACTAAGGGCACGTACCTTGGTGGCAGTTTGTCCCCGGCCCCGGTTGGGGTTGTGCGGAAGGCAGCCACTCGATGTGTCCCTTTCACGTCAATGTTTCTCTCTCTTTCTCCCTCCCTCCCTCTCTACCTGAACAAAAATGGAAAAATGTCCTCTGGTGAGGATAAAAAAAAAAAAATCTATAGGAAAAATATTAGTAGAAAGTAAAACAGATAAAGGCCATAAATGGATAATTCATAAAACAAGAAATTCAGATATCCAACAAAAGTGAAAAAGCTTTTTATTTTTTTGTTTTTGGTACATGACCCTAGCGGGAACCGAACCCAGGATTCTCTGGTCCACAGGCCAACGCTCCAACTGCTGAGCCAAACCGGCCAGGACGGTGAAAAGTTTTGATGTCATTAACACTAAAATGTGAGAAACTAAAAGGCTGACTGAAAACTTTCTGTATGTGGGTAGTGCAGTGGACTAAATAATGGCTCCCAAAGATGTCCAAGTTCAAGTACCCAGAATCTATGAATGTTACCTTATATGGCAGAAACTTTGCATATGTATGATTATGTTAAGGATCTTCAGATAAAGAAATCCTGACCCCGCTGGTGTGGCTCAGTGGACTGAGCATCATCCCATGGACTGAGGTCTCAGTTCAATTCCTGGTTAAGGCACATGGCGGGGTTGTAGGTTCAATCCCCAGTAGAGGGCATGCAGGGGGTAGCTGATCAAGGTTTCTCTCTCACATCGATGTTTCCATTTCTCTCTCCCTTCCTTTTTCTAAAACAAAAAAGGATTATCTGGTGGGACCCAAATGCAAACACAAATGTCCTTATAAAAGGTAGGCACTGGGAGATTTGAGCAGAGATTGGAATGATGCGGCCACAAGCCAAGGAAGGCAGCTACCACCAGAAGCTGGAAGAGTCAGGGAATGGACCGTCCTCAAGTCTCCAGAGGGAGGATGGCCCTGCCAACACCTTGATTTCGGCCCAGTGAAACTGATTTTGGACATCTGGCCTCCAGAACTTAGTGTTAAGCCACCAAAATATATGGTAATCTGTTACAGCAACCACAGGAAACTGGTGAGGTGGGCATTGTTTCCAGGTAGATTTCACAGTAGATAGATGGGGTGAGGACCTGGCTTTTCCTTTTGGTAGACCATAAATGTTTATGTCTGTAGGCATTCTCTCTTGGACCCATCAGTTGCTGCAGAATGACTCAGCCTCCTGCCTGGGGTATAAGCCAGTGGCCAGTGTTCTGGGAACTGAATGGGGAAGGGGCTGGAGGTCTCGCCATTTGTAAGGCAGGAGTTCACTTAATTCCTGTCTTTGGGAAAGGCTCCTGACCTCACAGTGCCTGGGGCTTCTGAGTCCAAATCTCTGGTGCAGTCTCCCCATAAAGGAAACCCTCTGTTTCCTTCAGGAATGTGGGATGGGTAACTACCTGACCGACAAGGGTCAGGTGAGTAGGGACTTGGGACAAGAACATCAGCGAATCCTCCTGCCTTCAGTTCCACCCTCACCTCCACCTCACCAGGGGCCTGATGCCTAAAATTCCTGAGCTTTTCTTGGGTTCCGAGGAGCAAATCAGCCTGCTTCTCCTTGGCAGGCCCTCTCCAGACACATGGCCTTCAGCTTTCTCCACCTTGCCATGTCAGGTTTCATTCCTCTAAAGTGCTTCACATCTTCAAAAATGTTATCTGGCCCTGGCTGGTTTGGCTCAGGGATTAGAGCATCAGCCCGTGGACCAGAGAGTCCCGGGTTCGGTTCCCGCTAAGGGCACGTACCTCGGTTGCAGTTTGTCCCTGGCCCCGGTTGGGGTTGTGTGGGTGGCAGCCACTCGATGTGTCTCTCTCATGTCAATGTTTCTCTCTCTTATTCCCTCTTTCCCTCCCACTCTATCTAAAGATAAATGCAAAAATGTCCTCAGGTGAGGATAAAAAAACAAAACAAACAAAAATGTTATCTGTGTTGGCCATTGTCTCTTCTCTTGGCTCTGTGTGTGTGTGTACAGGTGTGCATGTGTATGTGTGTGTACAGGTGTGTATCTATGTGGGGAAGGAGATAGTTACAAAGGCATTGCACATTTGGCTTTGGCAGCAGGCACCTGGGACACCAGTTTTTTCCCTGCTGGGTAATATTGTATTTCCTTTGGAATACACACTTTAAATAAATGCCATGAGTTAATAAGGATTTATTTATACTCTCAGTAAATAGAGATTCAATTAAAATAATTTATTGATAGTTTAGGTTAGGCATCCTGCAAGATAAGCAGCCTGGTATGGGAAAAGGCACGAGGCAGCTGATTTTGGCAAATTTTGCCTTTGTTCTCATTGCTTTTGTGGAGGAGAAGATTTTTGGAGATCCGTATTCTGCCATTTTCATTGATGTCACCTCATCCATTCCATTTTATAAATAAAAGTGATTCACTGATTTGGAACATCCTGTCCTTCAACAAAGTGAAAAGAATACTAAAATGTTCCAAGACAAAGAAATAGCCCAGGGCTGTGATTCATGTCTGTCCTAAACATGCATTCCCAGAGCAGACCTATGGGTTTGGTTTAGATCCACAAATATATAAACTGCAGAGAGCAGACTCCTTTGATCCCAGTAGCCGGAGATGTGGCATGCAGAGTGAGCATGGTAAGAAATGATGCTTGTAGAATATTATCTCAAACCTGCTTGAGGTAAATGCACGAATCCTTAGGCCATTATAAGCCTTTATCTGAAAAACTCATTTGATTGATTTTATCATTCAGTTTAATGGTTCTAAAAATTAAAATCATAGTCACAGAACTGTTAAAGACTCTTAGAACTGGAAGGAACTTTATAAATCTACTACTATTAAGGTCGGCTTTAATGATAATGCATTGAATGCTTACTGATGCCAGGCACAGTGCTCAATGACAGACGTATCCTGTTTCATTTAATCCTCACAGCAACTTGATGGGGTAGTATTTATTGTCTCTATTTGATAGGTCAGGAAATGGAAGTTAACTGTCTGAGGTCACACAGTTATTAAGAGGTATAGCTAGTGAGGCAGGACAGTAAAAAGCTAGGAAAATTCCTTGATAAGTGAAATGGTGAAACTGAGACAGACAGCTGAACAAACTGGCTGAGCAACTTATAGCAGATACAGAAGGTCACTTCCTCAGAGATAACATCTAGGCCTCAGTTGTATTTCAGCTCCAGGCCCAGAAAAGGAGCAAAACCAGGTGAGCGATGCCAGGACCAGCTGCAATGACTAATAACCCCCTGCCCTGGTGCTGACCAATCAGTAGAGACCATATGCCTGAAAGAGCACACCTGGAAAACTGATGAATATTTTGTTGCAACCCTCCTCTGCAATCTCCCCTAAGATTCCCATCTGAGAGAGAGAGAGAGAGAGAGAGAGAGAGAGAGAGAGAGAGAGAGAAACCCTCAAGACGGAGGACCCAGTGCCTGCTCTCCCTCCCGGGAACATGTCTGCGCCTTGCTCTTGTCCCTCTCTCTTCCCCCAAAGACATGCATCTCCTAAACTCTAAGGAACCTCATGAGACTTGCAACCAGGGGAGCAATGGGCAGCAGCAGCTTGTCCTGGCTAACTCCCTGAACCTGTCTCCAAGGCCCCCTTTTCTCTGACTTCCCAGTGAGCTAAAGCAGACCAGCCTAGGCTCTCCTGTTGCTTCT